ATATACTGCCTTCAAGAGACCCATCTCACTAGAAATGACATGCACAGACTCAAAGTAAGAGGATGGGAAACAAATTTTTAGGCAAATGGACACAAAAGAAAGGAGGAGTCATGATCCTAATTTCAGACAAACTACCATTTAAGCTATCAAAAATTAAAAAAGATAGAGAGGACCACTACATAATGATAAAAGGTTCACTCCATCAACAAGAAATATCTATCCTAAACATATATGCTCCTAACATAGGTGTACCAACTTTTATAAAGCAACTTCTAGGAAAACTAAAGAAAGATATTGACTCTAACGCCATCATAACTGGGGACTTTAATACCCCACTCACATCCCTAGACAGATCATCATGACAAAAAATTAGCAATGAGATCCGGAACCTCAATGTGACTCTTGACCAAATGGACTTAATTGATGCCTACAGAACACTCCATCCAAAGACCACAGAATACACATTCCACTCATCACTGTATGCAATGTATTCTAAGATAAATCACATAATTGGCCATAAATCAAGCATAAGCAAATTTAAAAGGACCGAAATTGTACCATGCACCTTCTCGGACCACAGTGGAATAAAAATAAACATTAACACCAACAAGGTCCCCCCAAAACCCACAGACATGGACACTAACCAGTATGATGCTAAACAACCCCTGGGTCAATGATGAAATGAAAACAGAGATCAAAAGATACCTGGAAACAAATGAAAATGAAGAAACATCTTACAAAAATCTCTGGGACGCCATGAAAGCTGTAGTAAGAGGGGAATTTATATCCCTACAAACACACATGAAGAAAATGGAAGGATCACAAATTAACAGCCTAAAAAGCCACCTAAGGAATATGGAAAAGCAAGACCACAAAAACCCTAATTACAGCAGAAGAATCCAGGTCACCAAAATAAAAGCCCAAATCCAGGACATAGAAGACAAAAAGACAATACAGAAAATCAATGAAACTAAAAGCTGGTTCTTTGAAAAAATAAACAAGATCGATGGTCCCCTAGCTAGACTGACCAAGAAAAAGAAAGAAAAAACCCAAATAAGCACAATCAGAAACACAAAAGATGAAATCACATCTGACCTCGAGGAAATATAAAAGATCATTAGAGACTACTATGTACACTTATATGGAAACAAACTTGAAAACCTCAAGGAAATGGAGGACTTTCTGTCATCACACAACCTGCCTAGGTTGAAACAAGAAGAAACTGAGACCCTAAATAGGCCAGTAACAATAAGACTACGTAATAAGAAAACTACCTACAAAAAAAAGCCCTGGACCAGATGGCTTTCCGGCAGAATTCTACAAGACATTTAAGGAGGAGCTGATTCCAATCCTACTGAAGATATTTCAGGTGATTGAGAAAGATGGAACCCTCCCTAAATCATCTTATGAAGCTAACATCACATTGATACCCAAGCCAGGTAAAGATCCAACAAAGAAAGAGAACTATAGGCCAATGTCTTTGATGAACATAGAAGCTAAAATTCGCAACAATATCCTAGCAAACCAGATTAAACAACACATCTCAGAAATCATCCGTCATGACCAAGTAGGCTTCATCCCTGGGATGCAAAGCTGGTTCAACATTCATAAAGCCATAAATGTAATTAAATACATCAACAGGTGTCAAAACAAAAACCATATGATTTTATCATTAGATGCAGAAAAAACTTTTGATAAAATCCAACACCCCTTCTTGATAAAAACCCTTGAACATCTAGGCATACGGGGAACATACCTCAAAATAGTAAAAGCCATGTATGAGAAACCCACAGCCAGCATACTCCTAAATGGACAAAAATTGGAACCATGTCCCCTGAAAACTAGAATAAGACAAGGATGCCCACTCTCACCCCTCCTGTTCAATATAGTATTGGAAGTCCTGGCTAGAGCAATCAGACAAGAAAATGCAATCAGGGGTATCCAAATAGGAAAAGAGGAAGTCAAATTATCTCTCTTTGCCGATGACATGATTGTGTACCTTGAAAACCCAGAAAATTGTAGAATCTGTCAAAAACCTCCTTACACTGATAAAGGTCTTTGGCAAAGTCTCAGGATATAAAATAAATGTGCAAAAGACAATCACATTTCTTTACACCAATAATAAACAAACAGAAACCCAAATAAGACGCACAATTCCATTTACAATAGCCACACAAAAAATGAAATACCTTGGCAACTTCCTTACCAGAGAGGTGAAAGACCTTTACAATGAAAACTATAAAATTCTGCTCAAAGAAATCAAAGATGACACAAACAAGTGGGAAAATATCCCATGCTCATGGGAAGAATCAACATTGTGAAGATGGCCATCTTACCTAAGGCAGTCTACAGTTTCAATGCAATACCTATCAAATTACCAGCAATATTCTCAGACCTAGAAAAAACAACACAGGAATTCATAAGGAAACACAAATGACCAAGAATAGCCAGAGCAATCCTCAGCAAAAAAAAAAAAAAAAAACAAACAAAGCAGGTGGTATCACATTACCAGACTTCAAACTTTACTAAAAAGCTACTATCATCAAAACAGCTTGGTACTGGTATAGGAACAGGCATATAGATCAATTGAATAGAATTGAGATTCCAGAAGCAAAACCTCAATTTCTCAATCAACTCATCTTCAACAAAGCCTCCACCTACCACTGGGGAGAGGAGAACCTAGTCAGTAAATGGTGCTGGGAAAACTGGCTGACCACATGCACAAGATTGAAACAGGACCCCTATCTATCCCCATTCACAAAAATTAACTCCAAATGGATCAGAGAACTAAATGTAAAACCTCAAACCATAAGAACCTTAGAAAATGAAGGACATACCCTCATGGAAATTGGAACTGGCATCCAATTCCTGAACCAAACCCTAAACCCATAGGCCATAAGGGATAAGATAGACAATTGGGACCTCATTAAACTGACAAACTTCTGCAAAGCCAATGAAACCATCAAGAGACCAGGGAGACAGCCGACAGACTGGGAAAAAGTATTTGCTAACTCCAGGTCTGACAAAGGCTTAACATCGTGGATCTACAAGGAACTCAAATGTGCTGAAAAGAAAAAAACAAACAACCCCATTATAAAATGGCAAAAGATATGAACAGAAACTTCACAAAGGAAGACATCCGAGCACGCAACAGACACATGAAAAAATGTTCAATCTCACTAAGCATCAGGGAGATGCAAATCAAAACCACACTGAGATACCACCTAACTCCAGTCAGAATGGCAATTATCAATAACTCAAAAAATAACAGTTGTTGGAGAAGGTCTGGTGAAAAGGAAACACTTCTATACTGTTGGTGGGAGTATAATCTAGTGCAACCCTGTGGAAAGCAGTGTGGCAATTCCTAAAAGCTCTAAATATCAACCTCCCATATGACCCTGCAATCTCCCTACTGGGAATATACCCTGAAGAACTCAAATCACTCTATCACAAAGATACCTGCACACAAATGTTTATCGCAGCATTATTCACAATAGCAAGAACCTGAAACCAACCATGCTTTCCATCAAAAGAAGACTGGATTAAAAAAATGTGGTACATATACATGATGGAATACTATGCAGCCATAAAAAATAACAAAATCATGAATTTTGAAGCAACCTGGATGGAACTAGAGTCTATAATACTGAGTGACCTCTCACAAAAACAAATTTCTGAGTATCACATGCTCTCACTCATATAGTGGACCTTGATAATCCAATGTACTACCATAAGAAAATGACTGACAGTGGTGGCAAACTATGGTGGGTGGAGAGGAAGCAGGATAGAACTACTGGTAGTAAACATCGGTCTGGGGACGGGGAGACACATCTTATCAACAAGGGGGACTGAACGAAGCATATTTGTATACCTAACCCTTAACTGTACCCCACAATTTGTAATAAAAAATATTTATTTAAAAAAAAATTTCATTACAAATTTAAACAGTGCTAAAGGATTAAATTTCTACTAAATTTTTAAATGTTATTTTGCAAAATAAATGTTTAAATTACATTTTGAAATATATTTAATGGAATCTAAATACTGTGGTGATTTGATACTTCTATAATTCATTTAATAATACAGAACAAATGTCTTTAGAAGACGAAATTTCAAATGGTTTATTTTCTCCTTGCACTTATATTTTCATCCCACTTTCCAAAAATAATTATTTTCTAATTTAATACATTGTTGCCTAAAAATGTTTCATTACCTTATCATAATTTCTGTAAAATAATTCATATATAAATTGAATTTTAGATTTTAAATTTTCTTTGACTCTAAATACAATTTTTTGAGAAAGCATTATGATTATTAATATGCAATTAAGCAAAACATAGATGTATTTTACATTTTGTAAATATTATTAAACAGTAAATTTTTTAGAAATGCATTACTTATTTAGACAGATGGGAATGCTTTTATATTCAGTTTCTGTATCAACAACGAATATTATGTATTGCTAAAATAAGACGGAATTTAGGAACAATTAATTTATTTTTGTTTGCATATACAGATGTGCGCAATGTAAATATTTGTTTAGCTAAACACGTGGTTATAAATGGAAGGAGTTGTATTATAAGAATATAATTTTATTATTTGATCTCTTTTTGCAGGGGGCAGAATACTGACAGTAGCTATGAGTCAACATTTATGTTTCCTACCTCTTTCAACATTTTGTAGTGATTTTGGGTGCAGATGAATTTTGTAAATAATAGCTACAAACCTGCATGGGGGGTGATGACAGAAAGAAAACTACTTTTAAAATTTCCATAAGAAGAATCTCAAAACAGATCATAATGAATTCCCCTGTTACAAATTTTTATAGGACACAGTAGTACATTTTTAGAAGTGGGCTACTGATAAAAAAAAATCTGGCAGCGGAGGAGTGAGGGGAAAGAATCTAGGAGGAAGTGAGTTTAAACACTTTGCTTTTGCTCACTTGCTTGGGTTAAGCTGCAGCTACCGAACTTTGGTACAGAAGATGCTGGGTTAGATATCTGCAAGTCCAGGCAGGAGGACTAGGAGAAAGCCTGAAAATCTAACAGCTGGAGTGTGTGTGGTAGCTGCTTTCCTGTGGTAAACTGATTTACTTGTTTAAGGTCTGACCTCATCATCCTGTCAGCATGGGTTTCCACCTACACTGTTAGCTGCAGCTTTCTGTTTCAGCTAGAAGGCTTGAATCATTCACAGTGTACCACAGGCATTGGGGGAGGGGAGAGAAAGCTAGAAAGACTGTTCTCTCGGCACTTGTGCTTTTGTTAGTTCTACAGAGAAGGCGGAGAAACAAGAGATAACAAAGGATTCGTTTCCTTTCTGTGAGAGAAGGCTTTTGTCTTTCCTGCAACGATGTCAGTGTCCAGCAAGAAGGAATTCGATGTGAAACAGATCCTAAGGCTGCGCTGGAGGTGGTTTAGTCATCCTTCTCAAGGTTCGCCCAACACTGGAAGCTGCCTTCAGCAGGAAGGATATGAGCATAGAGAGACCCCGGTTCAGGGCAGGCTGAAGAACCACCCTTGGGATAGAAACAGACTGAAGAAAAGCAATAGTCCTGTCCACCACAATATATTGGCACCAGTGCCAGGACCAGTCCCTGCCTATCAAAGAGACCTTCAGAACTGGCACCAACAAAAACTGATAGAACATCTTCAGACAAATGAAGATACTCCTAAAGCAGTTCCAGAGGAGAATTTGTTCAAAGAAGCCTTTGAAAAACGCTCACAAGATTTGGAGATGATGGTTGATGAAAATATAGAAGATTCTAGAGCAAGGTAGGAGTTTTCGGTAGCATAACTTAAAACCATAGTTTAGGTTAACTTATCCTCTAAAGCTCTCATTTAGTGTTTAAGTAGGTAGTGTTACAATGTTCTCTGAGTTTGTATTCAATCAGTCAGGGTCCTCAAGAAGTCCCTTCTCTAAGTTTACAAAGGAAAACAGTAGTAATACATACGTTTTGACAATTAATGGGGATTTTTGGAGGGGAGGTTGTGAGTTTACTTCTTTTCCATTAAGAATTTTGTTTCAGGTCTAAGAAATGTTTATTATTATTACTAATTGTAAATAACCTCTGTGACTTAGATGTTTGAATATTTGTGAATCTTTGTGCATGAGTAATGAATCACACAGAACTCTTTCTGACACTGTGAGTTAGGCCAACTTTGACAAAATAAAAGCTCTGATTGCTCAGCACATCTGTGTCTGTTCCTTGGTACAATGCTGTCTTAATGTGAGAATATGGAACAGCTTCCTTTGGCATTCTGAGATTTATGTTATATTACTTTCATTGTTAGCTTGCAAGCATGAAAATATTCTGCATAGAGGTAATAAGATGCTACTTACAACAATGAGATCTTTAAGTAGGTAATGGAACATGCCAGCTATTTCAGGACATTACAATTGAATAAAAAGTGATAATATTGTATGATAATATTGTATAATTTGGGTTTCTTTCATGAAACATTTGATTTTGTCTTAACTTTTGTGTCCACCAGTGTTGTTAGAATATAAGAAAATTATATTCTGTCCTCTAATATAATCAAATATAATTTTGCCTAGTGAATCTTTACTAACTTGTTTTTGCTTTTTCACTATCAGAGATTTTCATACTACCAACATGTTTTAGACACAGTTGATAATCTGGGCAGTGTAAGTAATGTGTAGATGTGCCAAAGAAAAATAAATATTTTTATGTATTTTAGATAACATAGCAGTTCAACATACAGCTATGCTAATGTATCTGGAAACCTGGATATTTGGCATGCTATGTCTCTATGTGAGTATAGAAAAAGAAGGACTGGCAAATTGGCTTCCTGATATAAGCTTTCCCAATATATCTAGCTGACAGTGTCTTGCTTTCATAAACTCAAAACAAAATGTCAAAAGTAAAAAACAGCATAACCACATTATGGCAAAAGACAAATGAACAGTCCAGAATGATGCCTTTATAGGAACTCAGTCTTATTGAATTGTAAAAAAGTAGAAGTCTTTATGAAGTGACTTTAATAATAATATTAGATTGTGATATAGACTTCTTTAAAAATAGAGCACATATGTGCAAATTTTTCTAAATATCTTGCGATTGCTCAGGAGAATACTATATAACTGTTGGGATTACAATTTCCATTTGATACAATTAATAAGCCTTTCACAGTAACATAGAGTCCGTACTTTTACATTCAGCAGGCTTTGAAATTTTCTCTCCTTATTATGAGCAATAATCTTTAAAGTTACTTAATTTGAAGCTTAATAAATACATTTAACTCTGTTGTAGAGAAATTTAAATTACTCATTGTGACCACCTAACCATTTTTTTTTTTTTAATGAATCCATAAATTTTTTTTTCCAGCATGGGCATATTTACAAAATATGTGCTAAAAGAAAATGTTAGATAAAATATTAAGTGTAAAGTACAGCCTAGTGATAGTTTATAAAATATGTATTTCTCCTTTGAGTTTATTTCTGACATTTTTCATGTTCTAAAGAAATGTTCTGTAAGTTAGTCTATGGTTTCAGTAGAATGTTAATATTTTCTTAAAATAAATACAGGAAGTGGTTTATAGATGTGCCAAGGATATCTTAGGCAGAAAGGAAGAGTAAATTGAGGATCTTATTAACTTAATATAATAGGTTATTACCCTTTCATTAGCCATTTCAAATCTCTATGTCTTGGTCCATTACCATTTGAGAAGTAGCTTTCTGATGTTTTCTTGGTTATCTAATGCCTCTTTTCTTGAGCAAGACTGAAGATACTGACAAGTTAGCAGCAGGCTGCCATCTTCTCAATATAACTTTAGAGGTTTTAAATAACAGAAAACTGTACTCAGTGTGGAGAATTATTATACTAGTACAAGATGAGGTCTGACACTCAGAGCAAAATAAGACACTTTAAACCTTCCTACTTCTTACAAATATTAGGGGAAATAAACAATGGACTAAATCACAAACTTGCAATATAGCAAACTAAATCACAATTAGCCATAAAAGGGATATTAAAACTAATTTATTAAAGTTATGATAATATGTTGGTTTAGAAAATTAAAAATCCAAATATATTCCTATATAATTGAACTATCAGTATGTAGTACATTTAGGAACAGCTCTGTATCATGGTCCCATACTGTGAGTATGCATATACCAATATGCCTGACATCAAAGACCTGGGCTTAATTATCATTTTATTGTTGTCTGCTAACTCTGCATTTTTACTTCCCCATAACATTTTGCTCAAGTGTTCTTTCTTTAGCTCAACCATAGCATTCCTCCAAAAAAAAATCATGGATCTTATCAGTATAGTACAAGCATGCTTCTTATATGACAAGAGTATTTAGTTATGAAAGCATATATATGTATGTATAATTGTTCATAAATATATGATTGCATATGTACACAGGTAGATATCACATATTAACATTGTGGAACATTATGCTAAACTGCATTTGTTAAAGCAGATGCAATGACTTCCTCTAGATTTGAAGACATTGAATAAAACGCAGATGATCAGTTTATGGGCCAAGAACATACTTTAGTACAAAATTGGAAGTTCACAGTGCTGTTTACTTTTAAGGAATTGTCAAGACCAGGGATTAGGCCTTCATTCTACTTGTTGAGACTTTAGATTTTTGAATAGTCTACCAAATGTACTTTTATGTGACTTTGTATATCTTTGCCAGTGTTGCACTGTTAAAAAGACTCCACATTCCTTCTTCATAGAGTTAGGGATAAAAAAATATCAAAACAGATAACCTGTTTTCATGGAATGTACATTCTAATGAGGAGATAGAGGCAATGAAAATAAATCATAAATATAATATAAAATGGATAAAATATTATGAAGAAAAATAAGTAGAAAAAAAGAGAGTGAAGGGAAGAGTGCTCCTTCAGATCAGGAAGGCTTTTCTGCTGAGGTAATATTTGAGTGGAGATTTTTTTTTTTAAATTATGAAATTGTGGGGTACAGTTAAGGGTTAGGTATACAATTGCGTTTCATTCAGGCACCCTGTTGATATGGGGTGTTTCCCCATTCCCAGACAGATATTTGCTACTGTTAATCCCATCTCCCTCCCCCCACCATAGTTTCCCAGTACGGTCAGTCATTTTCGTATAGTATTGCATTAGATGGTTAAGGTCCATTATATGAGTGAGAACATGTGATATTCAGATCTTTGTTTCTGTGAGAGGTCACTCAGTATTATAGACTCTAGTTCTATCCAGGTTGCTG